GCAGGAATTTTGCTTTGATTAATTATTTCATTTTCCATGAGTAAGAACCGAAAGGGTGAGGAAAAGAAGTGGCAAGTCCTCAACAGTGCAGTGAAGCAGAAGATGAGAAATGTCATTTTAACAAAAGAAAACTGAAAGCAAAATGTACATGACACAGAACACTGATCAGGGAAAACAAAGGGCGCTGAAAGAGATCAGAGTGAGGCAAATCAAGTCACATACTAAAACAGATTATAATACTAAAAAAAATGTACCTTTTTAAAGAGTACACAATTCACTAAAAACAATGATGTGTAAGTATTCATAAGTATTACAAATTCATGAAAAGCAAATGCATTTTTTGAGATGTGAAAACAGTTTTCTCACTCCTAATTAAGGCAAAAAAAAGTGCACAATCTCAATAATTTTGAATGACACATAAAACTTTTTTTAAAAAAAAACTTTTTAGAAGTCTAGAAATATCTAAAATTTCTAAGTTTAAATCATGGCAAGCTACAAAATATGTAGTTTTCAATTCAACAGTTTCTATCTTCTCCCAAACTAGAACAATTATCAAACTAATCCTTTCCCCTTCCAGCACTTTTAATTAAAGAGAATTTGTACTTCAACATCTATCACAGAGCATGATTATACAGCTACTTAGATTAATTTCCTCTTGTTGAATTTTAAAATACTAGCAGACCTACTTTGGACTTTCCTATAAATTTCTTATGCCCCATTCATGTTTACAACCTTGTAATCCTTACAGACTATTATGATATCTCTCATTAAATATTATCTAAATTGTGCAGATGCTGTCCTCTCAGTTTTTCCTTGGAAGACATTCCCTTCAGGGCTCTAGCTGTTTCTAATTCTTTTCAAGGAATACCCTCCTCAGCTTTCTACTGCTGAACACCATAATATTTTAACATGAACACCAAGTTGCTCAAACCCACTGCACAAAAGAGCAGCACAATGAAAGGAGATACTACACAGATTAGAACAACTGCATGTGTGATGTGCTCAGCACTGAAGTTCTCAGTAAACGTAGATAGGTAGTTGGTCAGATACACGCGTAAGAAAAACCTTACTTGAAAAAAATGCATTTTCATATAAACAAATGTAAAGGTCTGCATTTTGATGCAAAGACTGCCAGGTCATGTTTCTAGAATGGGAGCTTGTCTCCTGGAAATCAGTGCATTTGAAAAGCAAGTATTTTTCATATATTTCTCTGTCATGTTGTCCAGAATTCCTTCAGCACTTAACACAGTAGCATCTGCATGTTCTCAAAGAGCTTTGGATTTGCTCATGGTGGACTCAAGCACTGTAGGGTTGATTTTTATTCTT